CTACGCAGTGATTAATTCAAGAACAGTGCAAGAATCTAAAACACACAATAGTTTTACAAAACATATGGTATCTGTACGCCCGCCCTTTAAATATATCTTTAGAATTAAGGGGGAAATATATGTAAATTACAACTGTAAAATAGTATTCAAGCGAAAAATAATAGATGACGTGTCACTATTGAGGAAGCCGATATTAAAATCATCTAACTAGGTGTTTCCAATACAATCATCTCAATTTTCTTTGGCTATAAACGGGCGCCCGATAACTTAAATCTAGACTACTTTGTATCATTTGGCTGGCAGTATTTTCTTTCCTGCTCGGTTAAATATTATTTTGCGTTTAAGTGTAAATTTTTTTTTACCTCCCTCTTACACAAGGATTATAAAAAGATATATTAAGGGTGATGATTGAAAACATCCTGTATATATAAATTAGTAGGTTAGGCTTACAATCAAGAGCGCCCATGTGATGAATAGGTCATTATAAAATATTTCTTTTGTTTTCTTTTACGAGAATAGCATATACAGACTTTCAAGGTCATGTACAGAACTTTTTCTGTTTACAGTGTAAACAAATTTGTTTTATATTATGATTTTATTCATTTTAGTAATATTTTCAAAATGCATTTAAAAACAACAAAACACTTCCAACAAAAAGTATGCCGAATTCATTGTCAATATTTTCAATGCATTTCATTTCATTTAAAACTGTATTATGTTAAGAAGCAAATTGCAGTCCCCTTAGTGGACTAAAGAAAAAATCAGGACACTCCTTGGTACAGTGTATATGTATCAGATTAATTTTAAAAATAACAAATAACTGACAAAAAATAATAAAATATACTATTTTTAATTCTAGACCTATTTATTTCATTCTGAAAAAAACAAACAGATTCAGCAATTTTTCTAGCAGAATTCTTCGATTAATAAAGCACGCAGCAACTCATAACAGTTTGAGATCATCAATATATAGGAAATTTTAATGGTACTGTTCATTAGAAAAATAATCAGTATCAATTACTTCATATTCCTTTATACGAATATCTATTTAAAATTTGTAATCAAGTTCATGACTTTTAAATCAAATGTTTTAAAGTGGGGTTTCAATAATTTCGAAACCAAAATATAGTGATTATATGTCTTATTATTCGTGTTAAAAGTAATTTTCTGGATGAACAAATAATGAAAATAAAAAGATTTTAGTAGTAATCCTAATCATTCGATTATTCAAACCGATTATTTTAGAACTACATAAGTATTCACAGAAAATGGGATGTTCTAAAAACATAAATATCAAGACAAAAAGCTAATAATAAAGACAAATTATTTTTTATCAGAAAAATCAGGACCACTACAAACTTTTATATTATTAAATTTTAAGCTCTATTATATTTAAGTAAATAAAAAAGCAGATTATTAACTCATTAGTACTGAAACTTACTTTTACTACTTTATATGCAATCCATGTCATTTTTGCACCTTTTATCATTTAAGTAATTTTTAACTATTATCAACATAAAATACATAAGACATGGTGCCTTAAATATATTAAAATTTCTATTGATTCAATGGGTTAAAAAAACAAGAAATGTATGTAGCATAAAATTTAATTGATACTAATATTGTAAATTGTATACAGCTATTGTTTGAAAACCAAAACCTCTGCTTAAACGAAAAAAAAAGGGGGGTATTTTTGGTAAAACTAGGTATTTCGTTTCCTTTTTTTTTTTTTTAAAAAAAAAAGCTGTTTTTTTTTTATTCATCCTGGTTATTTTACATCCGAACAGTTAACCCAAATTTCTTTAAGAAAATGTTAGCTTAAATTCAGTTTTTAATAAAAATCAAAAAATAAAAATTATATTTCCATCTACGTTGGAGCAGGTTCTCGTTTTACACATGTGCAATCGTTTTGTTATTCTAATCATTTGCATGTTTTGCCTCACTTTGCATTTCTTGGAAGTTAGGTTCAATTAGCATAATTCTTTCAGGGTATTATAATTTTCCGAGGTATGAGTGTATAAAAATTTGTGAACAATTATTGTTCCTATCATTAAAGAAACTCAAATTTTTACATTCATCCCAGGTGTTTGCTTCGGTTTTAAAATTATAAAAGGCTACAAATACTAGCAGCATTTTTTTTTAATTCTACAATACATTACTCAAGTAATGAATGTAAAAGCAAAACATAAGTTTAAAATAAAACTTTTTTTTTTTGAAATCTTAGATTTTCTATTTATAATTATATTCCAAAGAATGTAAGAAATTTTTTTTTCAAAAATGCCTACCCTAATTATGAGAGTTCACCTATGGTTTTATTACACTATAGATAATAAAACCAAATAGTATGCAAATCAAAGGATTTAAAACTGAACTCTACCAGAATAACACACTCATCATTGATTTGTATAAATGATACCTCTTTCTGTACTCTGTAATTCTGTTTCCTTTCTGAAAATCCTTTTATATGTACAGCTGTCATACATTTTGAAAGGCTCTAAAAACAGGAGAATAAAAGACCCTGCTGTTAAGAACTTTTTTAAATAAAAAAAAAAAAAAATAAAGTAAAAAGAAAAATCTACTAAAATCATATTGATAAAAGGATACAGGATATTGAAAAAAAGATAAGAACTTTTTTAAATAAAAAAAAAGTAAAAAAGCCCCTACTAAAATCATATTGCTTAAATATAAGAAAGAAAATTAGGAAGCGAAAAAAAAATATAGATAACAATCACTATTTAATGGGCCCCAATAACAGGTGATATGAAACCCCTTTGTGAGTGCCAATGACTTTGTTGGAATTATCAATGCAACATTCAACATCAATAAATCCTAAGTATAAAAAAAATAATAATTTAGAAAACTAAAAAAAAGAATTTATTTAATGGGCATCAATAAAACTCTGCTTTAGGGGCTATGAACCCTTTTTGAGTGTGTTAATAATGCACCTTGTTAGATGTTATCAAGGCAACTTGGAACATTTCATTTTGTTCAGTTTAATATGATGTGTTAAGATTTCCACAGCTATTTGCATATTGCTTTATAATGTTGTCTTGCATCTGCATAATGAGATGCCCTTTTTAATAAGCTTCTCAAATTGAAACATCATTGATTGTTCAATACAGTATCTTCCCCATTGTGGACTATAAATGTTCAATGTATGGCAGACCTAACATCAAATTATGTAGTTAGATGAATACTCAGCAAGGTAGAAATATCAAATGCCTGTTAATGTTGCGCAATATTTTGAATAAAAGTATAAGCTTCAAAAAGTGTTTTGATTATAAAAAAGCAAAAATCTTTTTGATTTTATTGCTTCAATAAAGTTTAAAGCAAAAGTTATTAAAATATTGATATAATTAGAGAAATGTTTCTCTAAATATTTTTAAATTATCAAAACAAATCGTAATCAATACTTTTAACTTATTGGCAGTATCGTAAATGAAATTTTTTAAACTATTATTTAATATATTAGGGTACTTTGCTTACTCTACTCCCCTAACTTGTATTACTACTACACTGTTTCTTTTTACTTATATTGTAAAAGTAAAAAAATGAATACAATTGTGAAATTAGGTACTTTTCTTTGTATCTAAAGGTCATGAAGCTAATTTTACTAAAATCAATGTGATTCTGATAGGGCATTTTTAAAATGATGTGTAATATCCATCAGCATTAATTAGATTTATGTAAGATTTTGCTAAGTGCGACTATATAAATAAGAAGCTTTTAATTAGATAAAATTCTCAACAAAATTTATTATTGGGCATTAGTCGGGAGATCAGTTTTTGAAACATACAGGGGACTATTTGATTGAATCTATTATGAGGATGCCAGACACACTCATTATGGTGCTTAGCTTTATATCCATTAACAAATTGCATTGTTTGTTAAATGAACTTTAAAAAAAAGTATCATCAGCTAGGAAATAATTTTATTTCAATTCGACAATGTGTTAAAATAAACAAAAAATAATATTTTGATAACATAAAAGCACACAATAAGTATGCTCATTTAAAAAATAATAATTTTAAGTAAAATTTATTTAGAATTATTAGTTAAAAATTATTAGCATAATTATTCAAGAATAAAAACTTACTAAAAATTATTTAAATTAGACAAACAAATCTAAGCATTAATAATAACTTTTTTGACATTGAATAGTAACATAGCAAACATAAATCTCATTGCAAGCAAGTATAAAATTCATTCTTCGTCCATCTTTATCCATTTAATTAAATTTAATACTAAACTATGTAATAACAAAAATTTTTATAGCATAAAATGCAAAAGACAAAATAATAATTATAAATATCTCAAGTAAGGAAACAATAATTAAACATAATTTTGAAAAGAATATTATTTTCTATAACAGAAACAAAATGTATAAAAAATGTTTCATTTAAAAAAATGTTTATGTAAACAATACTCCCATCAAGTTTGTAAAATTATTTTGCTGGAATATTGCATATATTTTTACTTAATACTTTTAATTAAAGATTTTTTAGGAGTACAGATAAATAGGAATCTTTCACTATTTATTGTTATACTTTCACTGTTCGTTAATAAAGAGAACATGAGGCAGGCAGCAACATTGTTAAAAGTGTGACACCCAAAAAGGAAGTAACATGATTATTTCTGGAGGGTAGTTATTTGTCTTGTCTGATACTGCAAGTCGTTATATCCACTTATATCCTTGAGTTACAAAGATTTCAAAGTTTCCAGTTATTTTAATAATAGTTTACACAAGAATAACAATATTTTTAGTATTATTTTAATAAATGCCTTTTAAGTTTAAAAGGTGTTTATTTAAACGTTAATTTAATGCAACAAAACAACCAGAGCAAATGTTTTTTTATTCCTTTGATCAAACATCTAAGTTAAGAGCCAACTTGAAAAAAAAGTTAAAAATATAAAATGATGTACACAAACAAAAATCAAAGCCACAACAATATTTCAGTCTATGAAGTAAATATTGTAAAGCAAAAAATATGCTCTAAAAATTGTGAAAAAACTAATTTATTTTGAGTAAATTGTATGTACAAAATTTTTACAATGTGATCTGAAACAGAAAAGCATCAAATAAACTATTTATGTAAGATAATTGCAGAAAACCAAATATTTTATGAATGAAAGAATGAAGCAATTATAAGTAGTTAAATATACTAGATAAGTAAATTACACATCATTAGTCTTTTATCGTATTGCTTGTGACATATGAAGAGGAGTCAACATAAGTTCAAAAGCTGTATCTTTTAAATTAGCTCCTCTAAGATTGGCTTCATGTAAGTCACTACCAGAAAGATCACAATTCTAAAAAACAAGTAAAATAAAAAGGTTAGAAAAAATTAAAATAGAGTTAGATATCAAATAATCTATAAATTATTAGGTGGTTAAGAATGAAATTTATAGATTATAATATAGCAAACATTAACAGTTTATAATTTGAAATGGGCTTATTATTTTACTATTTATTTTTCTAGATAGAAAGTCCAAATCTGATTGTCACTTGTGATGAAAATATCTCCAATATGATAACCACAAACAATCAGCACAGTGGATGGACCAGAATGAATCACCAAAACATACTCCAAAGCATGATATTCTTCAAAAGATCCATTATGAAAAGATTAAAAAAGAAGGTGGGATCTATTACGATTTCATGAAATCCTGGCTCATCGCCAATACATCAACTCCTATCTTATTGCACAACAATGTGCTAGAATACACAATTCACAAATAGCTGTGTCAAAACTACAGGTATTGAAACTTCTGAACCTTCATTTATCCTCACCAGGCCAAGTCTCAAATGATGCTACAAAGCCACTTCTATAATTTGGACAACTTCTTAATAATAAAATAATTTCATTATGACAGAGTTATAATTTGAATATTCCGGAAATTCATCGACCACCATGGTATTAAAACACAGGCATAGACAACCCACTATTTAAATAGCAAAAGAGTGCAAACAATAATTAATACTTTGATGAATAAAATAATTATTATATTTGTAAGTTATCAAGCAACTTTGCCTTTTCTCTAAAATGTTATATATGTATAATATAAAAACAAAAAGAAAAATCGAATTTGTAAATCATAAAAATTATAAATAGAAAAACATCTTAAATGTCTTCACAATGAATTATAATTATTCATTAGCTTAAGAATAAATAGAAATCCTAAAAATTTGATAAAATTAATTAAATTTGATAAACTAAAACTAGTTAGAGCATATTAAGTTTCTGATAACCAAAATAATAATGATCATACTTCAAGATCAGCACCAGCTAGAACAGCACCCCGAAGATCACAGTTCTGTAAATTTGCATTTTTCAGAGTAGCTACTCTCAAGTTGACACCCGCCATTTGACTTCCTTCCAAAACTGCACCTTTCAAGTTTACACCTACATAATTAGAAATCTAAGACTAGTTTGAAGCATATTTGTTTATTATGTGATGTATGTAAAGGAAAAATTTCATGACCTCTTAATAACAGGGTGCGTAGTCAGATTTTTTCAACAAAAAATAAGCACCGTTTAAGTATTTTTTAAGCACTCAAAAAGTATTTTTAATCACTTTCCAAAAAAAAAATCATAATTAGGATCTGTGCAGTAATAAAAATTATTTTTTAAGTTCGTAATTTATAAACATAAAATCAATAAAATTCAAAAATATTTCCAAAAACTTTACGTAATCACGATAAAATAACTAGTTTCTGTTAAATATTGCAGAGAAAATTTTGAAAATCAAGCATATTTCGTAATTTAGAACAACAATCAACACGGCAAAGAAAATTACTTTTCAGAAGATAGAAAATTAAGCTGTTTTTACAAACCCTTTTAAAAAACGCTATGCACCCTACCTCCTTATAATATCTTTTCAAAATTCTTGCAAAATATGAAGCAAACATCTATACACAACAGAGCCTCAAATAAATATTTTAGTGAAATGTCTGTAAATTTTGATAATCATTGAGTTCGTAAGAAGCAAAAGGTAGATTGTAATCATCATTAATCGTCACATGGCAATGTAAAATCGTTATGGATCTTGATTTAATTTTCAAGTGGGCAATTTTTAAATTTCATACACAAAACTCCTTGCTGATCAGAATAATGAAAATTACTCTGACCAGTAAAGAAATTTAAGAATAATGAAAATAAAAACATTATACAAAAGGGATAATCTAATATAATCACAAGGTGATCTGCCTGTCATAGGTTGCCAATCACAGCTTTAAACTTAGTGATTGGCACAGTGAACTAGGAGTGTTTGACAGGTCTTTAAATTTCATTGATAGTATAGGTCATTCCGTTTCTGGAGTAAGAGTACTTTAGTCTGTGTTGAAGGTTGTGACATATTTTCTTTTTGTCTTCCAGTATTCATAAAGTTATTACGATGGCATGATTTATGGCATTCGGTACTAATGTAAAATTTAATATGTATGATCAAAATACTCATAATATATGATTTGAATGATTATTTACATGGTAATACTGGTTTGAGTTACTAGTTAAGTACAGTTAAAGACTAGTTTCAGTTACCTAAAGGCATTAAAAGGTATACAAGGAAAAATAAAATAGGCATAAAATTAAGTATGTAAAGTAATATTCAAAACATGTAACCACATACACAGCTTTCACAATTACTGTACAAGGCTTGGTCAAACTGGGCTTAATCTATGCTTTTGAATCAAACGTACAAAAGAGTTTACTATGCATACACTTAAAGGGGAAACTAAACACCACTCCTATTTTGAATGATTATTTCAAATTTCTCTTTAACTATCGACAAGAATAATACTTATACAAATGATATTAGAGCAAACAAAAAATTAGCAATTCTGTAACCTACCTTCCATATTAGCTCTATTTCCGGCAGGGTCTTCCATATTACAAGACCTTAAATTTGCACCTTCAAGATTTGCACAAAGCATTTTTACACCTAGTAAAATTGCACCCTACAAATTCACAATATTATTACTCATGTTATCACTTAATGGATTCAACAATACATGAAATTAAAAAAAATATTAAACTAGTTATTGCAAATAAAATACAAAATATATTTTCCCCTTTACATCAGGTGCTTAGTCTATAATAACTTTTAGAAAATATAACATTGTTTTGTATTTGTATTTTCTTTTGGATAATGAAATACACTAAGTGGACAAATTTGTTTAAAATTTTTTAAAGAATTGTCTGTACATATAGCCCTCAAGTAACCCACTTTTTCTCTTAACACACTCATCACAATACATACCACCTTCTAAAAATAAAGCACATTTTATAAACCTAACATAAGATAAAGCAAGGAGGCTTTGAAATTAACTTAAGAAACCAAAAATTTATTAAACTGTAAAAGATGAACAGTAACTTGAACTTTGTAAACAGAATAATTAATGTATAAATAAAATATAAATTAGTATTTTATTAACAATAAAAACAAATTCTAATGCCATTGAAAGTTGGTATAAAAAGTGAACAAACCATATCAAGGAAATGGTAAGCTCCAAAATTATTGAAATGTTTATATTAGATACAGAAACTTCAAAAAATTACAGTGGCCTCTTTTTACTCTCAAGGGGGAACATTTATAACTTTATAGACTGATATCTGCACTTTAATTTAATGAAAATATTTTAAGTTTTGCGTAAAGCATTTTATGTAGGGTTACAAGATTGTTACAGAAAAAAAAAATTCTCAGAATATTTATGAAATGTTTTAAAAATTTAATGAGAATACAATTAAAAAGATATACAACATACACACTAAAAAACATATGCATGGTACAAAAATTAAAATAATAGCATGTAAAACACCTGAAAAATTATTTCTGTTTTCTGTATTCTGTAAAATAATACTAATACTGTATATTATACAGTATTAGTATTATTTTACATGTAAACAGAATTTCAGTACGAAATATTGAACATTGATATATTAATTGTTGTTTATATTTTATCTTTCACTTCATTTTATTATGTTCTAACACAATTTTATAATTCAAAAATGATCTATGAGTGTCCATGCTGTTTGTAGGCACTGAAATGCAACTTAGGTCAATTTGGATAATATTCTGTCATAAATTTACAAAACTGGATCAATTTCCATCCCTCAGCATGTAATTCATTGACTGTTGCATTGTCATTATTAAATTTGTACGTCCTTAATTATCTGGGTACTCTAAAAATGTAATTTTATTATTGATCTACTTTCCTTAAATGTTTCCACATTTTGAATTTTTAAATTTTGGAAAAGTACTGATTGCCATTATAATGTAAGTAATAAATTAAAAAGAAAAGGCAAAACTCAAATTTTAAAAACATTCCCTGCAAATTTATCCGCATTAAAAAATGCTTTTTACCAACTTGATTTGCACAATTTCAATAATGTAAATTGCACAGATTGATAATTTGTGCAAAATTGTACCACAATCTTAGGAAAAAAAATGTATTTGTTGCAATAAAAAAAAAAAATTCCTTATACATTAAATAATGGCATTTTTTAAAAATTGACAATTAAATTTTTTTTTAAATAAAAACAATATGTTCCAGAACAGGAAATAAGATATGTCTTCATGCCACAGAATTAGCTAATTTATATTTATTACAGTATTCTTATGGATATTTTTGATGTCAATGTAACTTAATTTGAATAAATGTACAAAACCAGCCATTTGCATTAAAAAAAAAAGACTTCACATATTGCTGAATAAAAAAACTAAACTTAACTCAGTTGAGCATCAGCCCACTGAATAAAGGTGGAGAGTAAAGTTCTTGAATGAGTTTTGATAGAAGAAACCTTACCCACTTTTTAAAATATTTCTCAATTGAATTTATGGGGACAAAATTTTGTCCCAAGATTTCTAATTGTAACAAAACTGTGTCATGTGAAATTGCTTTGCTTGTGGCTGTAGTTAAAGAGGCACATTATCTAATGAGTTTTATCCACATTATCTAATGAGTATACCAACACATTAAGTGTCGCACCAAATAAATGACTGTTAGGAACAGTGAAAAAACCATAAATTAATGTGTTAACTGGAGATTTGGAACTGAAGAACATGTTAACTGGAGATTTGTATTAAACATATCCACATTAATGTAAGACCACCAAATTTTACAGTTTTAAATCTTGCTATTTTAAAATAATATGTGATGATTAAAATGTGATGAATTTGAAAAAATTCAATTTATAAAAATTGCTAAAAGATTATTTTTTTTTATCTCTGAGTGGGTGGGTGTATATACAAGTTAAATTAGATTTTAAAAAAATTAATTAGATTTTATACAAATAAATATATTAAAAACCAAATTAAACTTCCCCAGCATCTACTGGAAAGTTAATAAATGAGGAAAGAAATGACCTACTTCAAGATTAGCATGAGATAAATCTGTTCGTTCTAGACAACAGTAACTGAGATTTGCTCCAGATAGCTTTGCTTCATGAAGGTTTGCATATTTAAAATTTATGTGCCTTAGATCTAATCGAGACAAATCAGCATGGGATAAATTTACACCCTATATACAAAAGATATAAAATTAACAAGCAGGATAAAAATTATGGCTCACAAATAAAACACGTAAACTCAGAGAATATAGTAATCTCTCACATACAACATTTTTTGAACCTAATACTTTACTTTCATAATTATGTACCACACTAATAATATTTCTGCACTTAAATACACAAGACTATTTTATTATTTAACAATGTTTAGAGACAAAGGTGCAACATTTCTGCTAGATTTAATTTTATTTGCTAAATACCTCAATAAGGAGTCATGAAGTGAATTAACTATCATTTATAATCATTGATGTTTTTTGTTTCTTTTAATTTATATTATTGTACGTTATAAATAATAAAACCACCAAAATTTAAGCTTTTTACATTAATTCCTTTTGTCAATTTATGTTTTTATTTAAGTATTATATTCATTTACTTGAAACAGTTGACAGCATTATATTTCTCAATTAGCCTGTCGCAACAACAACAGTAACACTTTTGTAAACATGTAGTAAACAATTTTTGTTCCAGAGGATGCCTGCTATGCAAAGGTTCAATTTTTAAGAAAGAAAAAAAAAATACTTATGCATATTTGTAAGTTCATGATCACACATAAAACAAACACTTCCCTGAATGTTTGTAATCACTTAGAAAACGAATGATTTTTTGAAGTTTGTTTCAAACCAAATTACAGTGCTCCTGAGCATAAAACTACTTAGAAAATGAATAAAAAATTTCATTGAGAGTTTTTAAATAAATAAAAGTTTTACTATTAATTTTTCCCTTCTTGCACTATGTTTCTTAATTAGGCTTCTCATTAATTTATTCAGATCCTTTATAGTTATCAATGCATAGTCAGAAACGGTAAGGATTAATGTTAAACAGCACACACCATATTTCTTTAATAACTTATGGATGAAGTCAGTCCGAAAAATGTGAAATATAATAATTTAATTTATTAGTGATAAACTAGAATATAAATTATCAATTCAAAATTACATACCTGAAATCTCAGTTCAGTTGCATAAGACGTAGATATTAATGCATTTATAACATCTCGGCGAGTAAGAGCTGCACCATCAGAAAAAGAATGTTGCTCTTCCTTCAAAAGAAATTAAATTAGCAATTATTATAGAAACTAATTTCTACAGTACATAGAATTTTATCTATTTTTCATCATATCACTTAAGTATGTTAAGTACTTAATTTTTTATTAAGTGCCACTTAATTAAGCTGCAAATAAGCTAGAATAAATATTTTATTAAATGTTACATGTAGTTTAGCGAAGCTTTGATGAAATAAATCAGAGATTTCTTTTGTCGAATTATGCTCAAGATAAAAATCCATTTAAATAATAAATTTATTTTTAAAAATCGTTTATGTGATCATACAGAAAAACTGTTTGATAATACAATAAAAGAGTAAAAAAAAAGATTTAAAAAAAATAAATCATATTTTGTTTATTACTTTGTTTATCTAAATTTAATTATTAAAGGAATATCAAGTATAATATATTTTTAAGCCATTAAATATTTCCTTTTTAAAGCATGATTTATACACAATTAAGATTAAGGGGTTACAGCACCCTCAAAACAATTAGTATTTTTTTTTTTTTAAATAAACAAATGATTTTTTGGCTGCCTTACATGCAATACTTAATTTCCCAATTTTTTAATTGTCATAAAATTTTTATCTTTGCATCTTTATTTTAATTTTCCTTCAGTCTTTTTTTCTAAATATCTACAATTAACGCAGCTAAAATTTTAAGCATTCATTTGCTTATTATATCAATAAGAACATTATCTAAGGCTGGTTACAGGTTACAAGCAGAATCAAACATTATCTAAGGTTAGTTATGAGAAAAAACAAATATAATTGCAGGAGAGTTTATTTCAAAGCCTATCTTTAATTGACTAGGAATTTAAATTAAATGTTAATGTAACATTCACCAAAAATAGTTCAAATGAAAAAACCTAGGCAAGTTCTTAAATTATAATTTTGCTCTTGGCTTAAAAGAAAGACAATTACCCTTTCGCTTAAACATTCATAATTTGTAAATAATGCAGATAGAGATGAATTTTCTTCAATGTGTTTGAAGTGTTAATATAAGTATAGAATGTTTTCAATACTTTATTTTTCTAGTTAATGCGACATCTTAAATTTGTATAATTATCAAGTTTCGAATAAGTCACTTAAGGTAGAAAAGACAAAATTGAAGTCTTGTTATTAAATATATTTTCATACATGACATTTCCTATTTCACTAGAAATGATGTATTTAATATTAATATATTCTAACAGCAAAAATAAAATATAGCAACGTATTCCAAGAGCAATCAATTGTCAGACAATTGGTCATGGAGGTTAAGGAAGGCTTCATAATTCTTCAAGGCTATTGACATGATAGTGGCAATGTGACCAGCAAAGAACAGGGACACTGGCTGCCTTATTTCTCAGACAAACTGGTAACTATCGACTGGAAGTTGGACATGATATTGAAAAAAAGCATATAAAAGTAGTTACGTGCATATTTTTATCACTAAACTTTGCATTAGTAAATAAAAAGTTCTAAATTATTTTATTACTTTAGAAAGATTCTGTTCCTTGTAATTATTACTCAAGATCTCTTTTAAAAGCATAATAAATTATTTTTAATTATAATAAATGTTATTTTAATCAATTGAACCAATGATTTTTTTTTAAATATCAAGTGTTGAAAATGATGATTTTAATTGTTGGCACACTGAATAGGGGAAAAAAAAAACAATATTCAAAGTTTCTTTTAAGTAACAAATACAAAATATATTTTTAATTATAATTTTCCCTGTTGCATACTGCATTTAATGTTCCATTTGATTGCTTTTATTAAATTTATTTTTTAATTTGTAATCTAATTAATTCAAAATTGAATGATTTTAACTCTATTCTATTTTAACTATTTGTATCAAACAGTTATAACTAGGACTGGGCTATAAATCGATGTATCGAGACATATCGATTTAACTCATATATCGGAAAGACGATACAGCGACTTTCATTCAAGGTGATGCATCAGAAATTTAAGCCGTCGAGTAAAGACAACGAGCGCAGAACGATATAGCGATATAAGACACGCAAGGATATAAGAACGATATAGCGATATAAGACTCTTCTCTTACGTTCCGATGTCGACTCGCGCTGTGGAAAACGATGTTCGTTTCGTTATGTTGAAATGGCCTTGATTGGTGNCTGAACAGAGGAATATCGTAACATTTTGAAAAATAATGAGAGAAAAAATGTGAAACAAAGAAAAGCTATAACCTGCACATTCTTTTCTAGTATTTTAACCAAACTTTCAATGCCAAAAAATCTTGCTTCTTCTAAAACACCTATAACAAAACACATCATTATTTCATGGAATTCTCTAATTCTTAAGCGCAGTATAGAATCTTCGCTCAAAAAGTATTTTAAAATTTAGTTACACATAAGCAATAGTTATTTGAAGTTTTAATAAAGAATTATTGTTTTCAAATATAATTATTTGATTTATTTTATTAAAATAATTTTTTATTTAAATTGATACCTAGTAAATACCTTATGAGTAACTGAAGTCATTAAATATTTAATTAGATTTATTTTAGGGGTCACAATTTAAATATAGTTAAATGTATAGTGGAAAAAATTACACCCTGAATAACTTCTGATCTAATAATTGAATTGTTGTATCTCTGAAACAATTTACAAATAAAAACATTTTTGCACACATTTATAAACCTGAAATAAGCTAAAATAACTTGGAAAGAGCATAAATAATGTCACACAAATAATCACATGCTCATTTTGGTACTCTAAAGAAGCACTTTCTTCAGTGTCAAAACATAGCATAAAAAGAGAGAAGCGCAAAGATGAAAAAAAAAATTACAAACACATGCATTAAAACAAAGAAAAATGGGATCAACCAAGTTCAAAAAGAACAATCAACAATTGAGCCATACGAAAGAAAGTATGGTGGTAAGTAGTAACGCCTGATATTACAAGAAGGGTTGGAGATTAAGTAGCGGTGCTATATACTGAACAAAAATAATTATATGTCTGTCTATACAACATTATTTACACCCTCTTTTTAGTTTAATTCATACACATCATAAAGTTAACTTTCTTTATATGGATTACTAGCCACCTGATGCAGCCAGTTGGTTTACCAACACAAACTCAAAACTACACAGTTCCTCATTGTCATCTACCTGCAAAAACTACCAGCCTTGCAGATACATGTTATCTCCTGTAGTCTTTAGTATCATTGCTCTAAATCTGTAATAATTGCAATGAATGCATTGCTGTGATAATTGCATTTTATATGCAAATCAGAAAGACAGAAATTGTCTATGTGTAATATTTTAGGCGAAATTATTCCTAAAAATATTACTAAGAGTGAAAATGGGGAAAGTAAAAATAGTGTGAGACATAATAAATAGCATTTATATTTTTAGTTTCTTAAATATATTGACCAAGGGTCATTCAACTGGTAGTTATTTTGCCTACACAAAATCCCCACTTCATGTTCCATATTGTTCATTATCAACACAAATTTACTTATACGTTTATTTGTGGCTCCATACTGACTGTGCTACATTTCTCCAAATCCATGGCATTTATATTGTTAGAGAAAATAGGAAGAGTAGAAATTGCCCCCAGAGAGTTTAATATGCATAGAGTACATACATAAAATCATCTGCAGAATTTTAAAAATGTGTATAGATCCATACGTTGATATTACAGGGAATATATGAACACTTCAAACTCTCAACAAACATATAGTACACACAATAGTACCTTTTACACTGTACAACATATAATAACAAACAATAGTACCTTTTACATAGTACAACACCTTTAGTACAAACATATAAACAAACATATAGTACACACACCACATCTTTAACATTAGCTCACTGACAGTGATGCATGTTGAATATGTAATACTCAATATTTTGAGTTTTTAGTGTAGTCTCTGTGGTGAAAATAGATTTTTGAGAAAATGATTCAATAAAAAGAGGCTTTTGAAAATTCTTTTCTAATTTTTATTTTTAAGCTTTAATCCTTGAATTAAAATTAGATGTATAAGGAATTATATAACTTACAATTTGCATTACTAGATAGTTGGTACTGTGAGAATTGAAAGCTATTTACAGTTTCTGTATGCTTTTGCAAAATTTTAAGTAGAGCCTGTGAATTTTTCTATAGTCTAATTAATTAAAGACAAAATTAATAATTAAATGTTATTCAAATAAAATACTTCATACTAAATGCCTATATACAAAAAATTATTTATTTAGAATCTAGGAACCCTTTCAAAATTTTGATGAAGAATTATGTAACATTTGAGAGGCACTTAAATGGTAGCAAGGAAAAATGCAAATTGCATCAAAGAAAATTGACCATATTCAGGGCTCACGCTAAGGACTTCAAATTATTAGCCAGTAAATTAGCCAAATATCAAAAATATGACTAAAATTTCAAAATTCTTAGTTAAAAATTTTTTTCTAATAATTCTTTCCCCCATAGAAAACTTCAAAACAAAATACACATTTACTAAAAATTAAATTATTTAACAAAATTAAATCATTTCGAGTCATTTTAGAGCTGAGGAGGAGTAAATGAGCAATGAATGGGAGAGACAATAGAAAAGTAGATGTTTTATCATTGAGGAAATTAAATACATATAGGTTGGAGTTAATTTTTAATAACTACTTAGACTAGAGCAGTAATATAAGGTTAAACCTAAAGCAACATTACATTATTGTATATAAGAAAATACAATATGCATATGAGAAATATTGTACATATATTTGAAGAAACATATCTTCTGCAAAAATGGTTGTTAATATGAACCTGACTACCACTTAATTTTGTTTTATCGACGCAAACTGTATGGAAGAATTTTGTCACGTCATATCACATGATCCGGCAATGAATGAGGTAATCTGTGTTTTATGGTAGTTTGTCTCATGCTTACATAAACGCTCTTGTTGCTTACATTATCTGGACTATTAGTTCAGATAATGATAATTTTAGTGATTATGCAACGTATTGCATATAACGAAAATTACTGAAATCAAATAAAAATATACAGGATTTGTACACAATAATTTTTTCAGGATTGAGGGGGATATATATTTTTCCCTTGATAGAAGAAATCATTCAAGAACACACAAATTTACGTTTTTATTGGCTTTCGCGAGGTGGAGAATGTTTAGCGCAGGCTCTACATATTTCTAAAAGTTATATTTTTTATTGATTTCATTACATGTTAAACAAGATTAAGTAGAACCAAAAAATAATGTAGAATTGAAGGAACTAGCATGGAAGCATGCTTTACATTATTAAAATCATAATTTTACATAAGGAGTTGAAAATATTCAAATCGCTAAACCCTCCAGGAATGGAAAAGATCTCCCTTCTCTCTTTCTGTGAAATCAACTGACAGAATTAAAATAGAATACTTTAAAAACCAACTTTTATTTATAATAAAAAATGTTATAGAGCATTTTTCAGACTGTATTTCTAAACAGAACTCTTTTGTTGAAATGAAAATTCAATTCAAATATGCACAAGGAAATTTAGAATCTGATAGGCACATTTTAAGCAGACCTGTTGAATTATAAGTAGTGGGAATGGTCCTCAAGTATCTGAAAATGATGTGAAAATTAATATTTATTGATTTTTTAACATGCTTTTTTTCAAACAGAATTATTTTAAATATTGAAAACAAAATATAGCCAAATAATGATCTCATGAGGAAACTATGAACTGAATGTTTGTAAAGTGAGCAATTGAGTGAATATTTACAACATAAATGTTACAAATGAATGCTGTTAAACACTTATATTATAAACGTTAAAAGTAAAAGCGATTCAGAACATTTTTTGCTGATTTTGAGATACAGAACTCATCCAATGAAACTTTTTATTATTATTTTTTATATAAATTACAATCATTTAAAAGCACACTATTTTTCGAAGTATTCAAAATGTATCATTTTCTCTCTTAATAATTTTTTTCTCCATTACACACTGATTATGATATTGCAATAAAAATATAATACTTTTATTTTTCTTTCCTGTTTCTGAAAAACTTTGTTCTCTCAGATTAATTACTTCTATGCCATCTAAAATTAATCATCCATAGCAAGAGGGCTCCACCAAGCATGAACTCCTGTTCCATTTTTTTTATAATAGATTATCAGTAATGAGGAAAGTAAGTGTCATAGGGGAAAAAACAAAATGCGACCTTTCCTGAATACTCTGTATGGTTCCTAATAAACTGCAAAATTGAGTAAAAATTATTAAGTTTAAACAAAGAATCTGTTTTGGGGGAACTTTATAAATGAAGAAAAATTATACATGAAAAACTACGCAAGACAATATTTGTACCTCTTGGATTAGTGGTTTTATCAAGTATTAATTGACCATGCCTCAAATAATTCAGTATAGGTTCAAAATAGACAGGACTACGGTCAATAAGAAAAGCACCATAGTTATCAACTGAACTTGGGCGAAGAAGTGAGCTCTCTTCAGATGCTATCATACAGGCAAGCATAGAGTTTGGTTCTTTGGTCAGTAATGTACTTCTAAACATAAAAACAATAATAATAATTAACTAATTGAAGTTTTAAAGAGTATGTAAGTAAGCAAAAACATAACTTGTAAGAACATAAAAAGCCCTTTATGATAAATAATTATTTATAAATGTATTATTTATTACACTAGAGGGTGAATTTAAAATCCTATACATCAAAATTTAATGGCTAGTAATTCAGTAAAAACACATTAAATTTTGATTTCCTTGAAGTAGCTAATAGCTTAGATAGTTTTGAATGTATTTCAACTGGTATCTGTGACCTAGTGCTCAGGTTTTTGAAATCTGTCAGTAGTGTGTCAGGCAATGTCTAATGTGATTTTTGTTCAAGGGCATAATAATTTTTTATTTTTTACCAGAATCAATAAATATACATTTTGGAGGGTTGTTTTTCAAGTCAGATTCTTATGTCATTAAAGAATGACTGTTAAAAATGAAAGGTGTCATATTTCAACTAAGAATGTTGCACCTTTGTCTTTGTTGCACTTTCATTTGAACTCACAATTTGGTGCTACTTATATGGACTTTTAAATTTTTGTGCCCCTTTAAACTCAGCTTATACACTTTATAAATATAAAAATATGAATTTGCACACTATATATTCCAATAATATATATCCAATATGAATACTTAGCTTAAAACATTTGAAATCATGAAACTAATTAACTTATGAGGAATTTATACTAATAATTTGTATCAACAGAACATCATGAATTTTATCATGATAATTTATATCATCAGAACATTTGTATCATGTTATTTTGGCAAAAAGTCATTAACAAGCTTCATTAACAGCAATGATGTTAACAATTAGAAAATAAAAAATGCTGAGAAAATTTCAAGGTGTGCCTACTTTTTGCATTTCTTCATACTCACTAGTTTTTTTTTAAACATTTTTTAGAAGAAAAAATTCTGAAGTTTACTTTAAAGTATGAATTTCCTCACGACTCTACATGCAGTCCAAGTTTGTACAGTAAAAAATGCTGCCATTAAAAAGCTTATTCAAAATCTAAAGTAATATACTGTAAGAGTATATAACAATCAAAAAGTAATATACTGTAAAAGTATATAACAATAAAAAAGTAATATACTGTAAAAGTATATAACAATCAATAAGTAAACTAAACTCAGCGGCGCGACAGCCCTTAAGGGCCAAGGCCTACTGTGCCCATCTCAGTTTTCTTGACCTTGGGCTCTGGGGTGCAGGAGCAGATGCTCCGGTCAGGTGGTCAGCCGAACGCAGAACCCCCAGTGCTTAGTTCCCAAGCATGCTTGGTACTCATTTATCGACCCACTGAAGGGATGAAAGGCTGAGTCAACCTTGCCCGGCCAGAGAATCGAACCAGGGATCTGTGGCACGGCAGCGCGAAGCACTACCGCTCAGCCACCGGGCGTGTCAAAAAGTAATATACTGTAAAAGTATACAACTTTTTACTTTATTTCATAAAAATATACACGGTCAAAAATTGAGAGTATAAAAGTAACAATCATCGAAAAAGTCAAAGAATAGAAATTTGGGATCACATTTTATAAGAAGCAAAGCACGAAAGCTGTGATGAGTTCTTTAATTATTTGCATAAAGTTATAAATGAATATGGGAAAAGATTTGAGCTTTTCTGTAATAAATGAGTTGATAGTTGCATAGAAATGTAAAAATTAATAAAAAAACATTTTGGAATATTTTTTTTATTACTTGAGACCTTATTTTAGGGACACTTATTCTGGTACATTCAAGTTTCCAATTATATTCTATCTCAAGATGCTACTCTTGCTTTGTTTACATTCTGTTCTATGTCATATTTTCATTTTTTATTATTATTTGTTTTATTCATTAATATGTGCTCCTTATTACTGTAGTATCATGATTATCCAAAATTATTCCATCAGAATAACTCTGTTAAATGTAGTTAATTCACAATTTTTCAGACACTTGGTTTTTCTTTTTATCTCCTTTTCTCAATTAATAATATGCAGTGATGTATTGAGTATTCTAAATAACTTCCAAGTTGTTATGCTCATAATAATATAGTAAGGCAAAACCTCTTTTGTTATTTAAAGATATCCAATGAGGATTAACTATTGCAACTCACAGAGATAAAAGAGCTGTTAATCATGATAAAAAATGTTCATTGCTGAATATATGAACGGAAGAAAGGGAATTACTATTTGGCACAACAATATGTGGGGCATTTATAATAGGAAACATATTTTGTAGTGCTTGTCTCACAAGCTAGTAATTGAAGTTTGCTTTGATTTTTGTTAAAGAATCTAATAATTATTACTTAAAAATTTTTTGTATCTACTAATCTAGTTTCACCATCATGGTTTTCAATTCTGCTAACAGGAAACATGCAACATTATACATAATTATCCCAACTTTTGAAATTTATTAATATGTGATGATTATAACAATAAATTTTTAATATTCAAAGCAGATTTTATTCAAAAGTTTTCAAAGAATCCAGGTTTTGCTGTATTTGTCTGTTCAGTAACCCATATCATTTCCATAGACCAGGGATGGTGAACCAATGGCACGCGACACAATATTTTGGGCACTCCACCAATCACAATTGTTGTTACACTATGAATTGTTATTACACAAATGTTATTACGCTATGAAGCATATATAACAATTTAATTAAAATTCACTAACAAACAAAATAATAAACAATTATCAATAAAAAATTAATACTAAAAAACAATTAATAACCGTAAAAAACAAACTAACAATAAAAAACAAGCAAAAAAAAAAAAAATCAACAGTCCCGCTTAAACTAACATCTTACAATCTAATATAAGTTATTGGTCATCTAATCTGCAACAACAGAAGTCACACTGATGTTACTTTAAGTTGAATCACGTGTATAACTGAGACATTGCAAAATGTATTTTTTTTCAATGTAAATAAAGAGTTTTGAGTTGATAGTATTTAGTATTATTATTTTCTCACTAATCATGAAGTAAAATTTTTTTGACGGCATGTCTATGACCTCATTAAGCAATTTTTTTTAGAGAAAATGGCACGTTGGTGTATAAAGGTTCACCACCCCTGCCATAGACTTTAATACCAGTAGTTAGAAAAATAAAAGCAAACACAGCTAATTCACTAAGTGATGTGTCATTACGACAAGTAATAGATGATTTGATGGGATGGAAAAACATGCTTTTAGAATTTAAGATATACTATACAAGTTTAAATCCATGAAGATTTCATCAAAATTTAGGTAAAATAAAAGAGATTTCATTTCAAGTATCTTCAAGAAAGTGCTAAGATAAGAATCAACTAAATGGGATGCCTAAAAACAATTTACATACTTGTTGAATTTCTGGAAAATCTCATCAAAAGAATAATTGTTGAATCATGTAAATATATAATAGTTTCTCTATCAGGTACTTTTATCTTATTTCATAGTCATTTTTTAATATTCCAGGTGTGAAATAAAATTAAATCCTTGAATATAATTAATAATTTGTACCGTAATTTATGGAAGAAACGCCGCACCTATCGTAAAAGCCGTACTTGTGATAATGAGACTTAAAAGAAAAAAATCATGGTAAACGCCGCACATGTAAACGCCGCACCCATAATAACGATTTAGCGGCAAAAGTGAATATATAACATTAATTCCTTATAAATACTACTAATGTTTTAAATTAAAATATAAATTAAAATTTATAAATGTATAATTATAATAAAATCAAGAATGTAATCTGCTATTGTATATTTTGGACAAACTGCTCAGAACAACATGTTACAATCGGCTGTTGGTGCCATCGTTAGGTAAAAAATTTAAATAACTATATTTATATTACTTTAATATAAATGATTTTTTTTACATTACAGTATAGGACCCAAAATTCGACACTCACGGGACCGACGAAATTCCGTATTTCGGAATTTGCAGAATTTTGGATCTCTTCCGGAAATTCCAATATGGCGCCCGTATATTACGATAATTCAATTACGCTGTTAATTTCAGAAGAACCAATAAATTTAGCTAAGTTTCAATTGTAGATTTTGATGGGGTGAATTTAAAACTGTCCCATCTTTAGAAATTTCATTGATTAAAATAATAATCTATAAGATATAATCAAGAAGAAATAATCCGAAGGATAAATAATTCAAGATGAAATAATCCGAAAAAGAAATAATCGTTTCTTCTTCAGAGCGAGATCATTGTTCTCGTTTTTTCTTTTACATAACATTTTGTTTTAACAAAAGATGCTCACCTCGGAAAAAAAAAAGCTAACAAGGAACTACAAAAAAAGTAACAATTAATGGCAAGAACCTAACAATGAATAACTACAAAAAAGAAGCAAACAACTAATAACGATAAAAAAAAAAAAGTTAACAAGTGTAGCAAAAAAAGTAACAGTTAATAAGCAATAAAAGGATAAATAAATCGAATTTTTTTTTTTTTAAAAAAAGCAGCAAAAGGGATAGAATTCATTTTGTACACCAAGTGAGAAAGAAGTTTCAATGTCAAAAGGGTGCGGCTAATTTATGGTCAAATAGAAGAGGGAAATGGGGGAGAGGGACAAAACCAGTAAAGCACTTGTCAAGATTGATTCATCAGTTTCTCCCAACTAGCATTTCTTTATTTTGTTCATTGGAAATGCAGATGTTTTTACTTTTCAATTATGTTTTGTTTGATACAGATTTATTATTTTTTCTCTTCATGTTTTTATTTTTAAAAGATAAAATATAGTTACTTCCTTCAAGAGAAAAAAAATCCAAATAAAACGAAATATTACTTTTTTTTCCCCTCTTATCATTAAAATTTCTTTAAAAGAAAAAAGAAAGAAAAAATTTTGGTCGGATTAAGTGCCGAATTTCGGGTTCCATACTGTACTACATATTTATATTTTATAAATATTTTTTTTAATTTAATTTATTTATTTTTTGGAAATATACCTCTTTTTATTTAAATAAGAAGATATCAGTTTATAAGTCGCGTCCATAACAACGATGTATAAATATTAGCAAATACTAAAAAGAAAACTTTCCGCAATTTAATTTCTCCACAAAGCACGTTGTAACAAAGTGAGAAAAATGTGAAAGAGCTATCAACCATGCGGTTTGGTGGGAACTAGATCGAGATCAACCCACTTTCTTTAAGGGGTGGTTAGTTATCAATAGTGACGCCATCTTTTGCCATAATTCGCAACTATTTTGATTAAAAAAATGTTTTTCTTTTGAAAAATTTATTTTTAAAATATCGTAAAAGCCGCAATTAAAATTTTAAAACTTTTAAACACGTAAGCGCCGCGGCCTTTCTTCCATAAATTACGGTAGTTTATTTATTGTCTTTAAATCCAGGAGATGAATACATTTTGAAATTTCCTTATTTCTTAAGATATTTATCAGAACTTGCTGATTTTTTAATAATTTTGGGAATGAGTTAATATCATTTCCAATAATAAAGTAGCTTTTATTAAGCACATTATAACTTTCTTTTAATTTCTCTCTCTCTCTTAAGAGAGTTTAAAGACTAGTAATAATAAAAACAAAGGCTGTTTCCTACACAGAAAACTTTATCAAGCATAGTTTAAGAATTTATTTGCAATTTTTATATGAAACTTAAATGACATGCGAGAGTAACAAGCTTTTTATTACATAAAGCTTTGGTAAACATTTTAAACTTTTAATCCACTGTGATATACCATCACAAATATTACAAAATCGTGCAAGAGACAACTGTTTCAACCTTTCGTAAATTTCACGAATCATTAAAACTCCAGCAGGTAAATGATAGATTTAGAATAAGAATAGTTTTAACCTTGTAGTTGCAAAATGTCTTCCACCAACATTTAAGAGCAGCCAATCTGGATTTGAAACAGTTTCCTTAGAAATCAAGGCAGCAGGAGGCCTATGTGAAGCAAACTGTTTGGAAATTGGTTCATTTGAAGTTGATTGCACAATCTCTGTAACAAAATTACAACTGCAAGGATTACATTAAAGTATAAATTTTTTTAACATAAAATTAGAATGAAAATTTAAACAATAAATGAGATTTTCCATTCTTAACATAATAAACATGTTATACAATTGACAATATTTTAAGATAATACCAATAACTATATTTTAAGAATAACTGTTACAATCGGATAGCTTTACAGGCAAATTTTAAAACATGCTTTGTAATCTAAGATTAATAAAAAGTGAATGAAGAAAAATTGCGAAATTCATCTAGTAATATGCTATCAGTCCTATACTGGAAAGTAGCAAATAAGTGTACAATAAAGAAACTAAAATTATATTGATAAGATTACTTTTCTCTGAAAACTCCAGTATAAAATGCTTCTTTAATATTTTTTTTAAAATTTGAGTATAACAGGGACTTTACAGATAAAACTTTTCACATTTTACCTGGGGTTATCCATATAATATATCATTATCACTTTTTGAGTGATTCTGAACCCTTCTCCTTTAAAAAAAAAACATTGTTATCAATGACCAAAAGTTCCCTTTTTGCCATTTTAGAAGAATTTCTTTCGTTCATAATTTTAATTCAATTATTAAAAGTTATTAAACTTAAAATACACCTTTCTCAATTATTTAAATAATTTTTGGATATTTTTAATAAAATTTAACACATTAAATATGAAAATATTATTCCAGGAATAAACTGGTATAGGTATCAATAACAAACTTCCACTACTAACATTAAACAAAGTTGTTTTCAACTTCCTTTATGTTAATAGAAAAGCAATACTTTGAATAGTATTATTAACACTAAAAAAGGAAGTAAATTTTTTCTTCCAATAAATAATTTTGAGTAAGGATTTTTCAATTGAAACTCTTATTTACAAATAGTTTTCTGTTGTTGTCAAAAGGCTGTTCATACATCGTACTAACCAAAATTTTTATGTTAAAAAAATTCAATTTTAAAATCTAATAAAAAAACTGATTTTAAAAAAATTGAATAAAATAGTTGCTTATTCTAAAAATTAACCCAAATTCAATAAGTACAATATAGAATAGTGGATTAACTAAATTCTTCAAAAAATTTTTTTAAAAATTATTTTACTCATTGATATTTTTTAAAAAATGTTCAAAATGTTTTACATTCTCAATGAATGCAAAAAATTAATTAGCAGTTATTTTAATTTAGAAAAAATACAAGTTTATACTTCAATTTTTTTTAAATAAAACTTTTTAAACATAATAACTATTTATTAGCTAAATATTAGAAAATGCAAACCTCATTACAACATAAGAAAAAATTAATAAGCAAAAGTAAAAATGGACAGGGCATGTACTAAGAATGCCAAGTAAAAATTTATCACACATTTCTGTCTCTTGAACCCTTGATAGCAAGAGCAAAAGGAGGGGGGGGGCAAGAATTACTTGGCAGAGACAAATACAGACAGATTTCAACAGAGTAAAATTTAAAGGATTAGAAGACGTCAGATCTTAAGTCAAAGATCTGCAGGGTTGCCACTCAAATCTGGAAAAAAAATCCCTGTTTTCCCTGTATGTATTATACACAATATGTTAAGAGGAAAAACACAATCACTGTGTTCTTGTATAAGCTGTATTGGAAAAACTATATTAGTTGTAATTGCTGAAAAAATTTAAGGAAAAAAGGAATAGTTGAACATACTTAATGCAAATAATGCTATAGTAAATGAACTAGTTTAATATAGCTGAAATATCATCCTTAAATGTCCCATAGATTGCACTTAGAGTGGTTACTATTTTTTAAAAGATGGGAAAAAGAAACAAAATTCCCTGTATTTTCCTAGTTTCAAAAGAGAAACTCAAAATTCCCCGCATTTTCCCTGTTATTTTAGGTAATTTTTAAATTCCCTGTGTTTTCCGTATTTTCTCTGTTCTCCCTGTGGAGTGGCAACCCTACCAAAGGCATGACAAAGAAGGCTAGATGCCTTGTGCGCCAAATAGTTTGAAGAGCCTAAGTAAATAACTGATTTATGTCAATTTATTGAAGTGCACATGTGCAATTAGTATTAAATGTAGAACAGCACTTGTTCACTTCTGGCAGCATTTTAAAAAAGGAAAAAAAATTTCTCGTTCAACAAAGGCACTTTAATTGACTTTCAAGATAATAAATAAGTTGCCATAATCGCAGAATAATTTATTTTGGGAAAAAAATGCACACAAGTTTAGAAATTTAGCTGCAATGAAACTGAGTAGAGATTTTCTGTAAACAAAACTATTTATTATAAAACTTATTCAGAATAATGCTTGATGAGAAAAATTATTATTTTAAATAAACAGTATAATGAAAACACGCCCAATTTCAGCTTTAAATGTTGCAGTTAGCAACAAAAATGCACTGGTAGGGATGCCTTGTTTATACTTTTTAACTCATCTCCTGCATTAAAATTAATAATGTTGCAGAAAAAAATTATTAAAATTAATAATGTTGTAGAGCCCATGTGTAGCTCAGCCCTTCTATAAAGTTCTAAAACTCTGTTGCTAATTTGTTGTTGCAAAAAAGTGTAACAGGGCTTATCCCATTTCCAGCTTTTTATGAGAAAAGTAAAAAACTAAAAAACATAATATTTTCACAGGTAAATTTTGAATATTTAATTATACTTTAATTAAACAATTCAAAAGAAAGTGAGAAATTCATTTTATTTAAAAATACATAACAAAGTAACTTTTTTTAAGTGATTCCACAATTATGAAATTACATATAAATTATTTTAATTAAGTAATTGAGTGAAAATTTATAGAAGGTTTATTTTGAAGAAAAACTACTTCTTCAAAGGAAAAAAAAAAGAAATAACAATACTACTACAAATTAAAATTTATAACTGTATACATACCAATAAATGGTTCTCCAGAGGACACATACAGCACATCAGCATCTCTAAAAAAGGTAAAATTGGTTTTTAAATTAAATGAAAGCAAATATTCAACCACAAATATGAGAGTTTTAAATGATAGAGTGGCAACACAGCCCAGAAAGTTGCAGATCATTTGATATATGGAACAAGGATATTGAAGTAGTGATGTATACTTAATACAGTGAAATATTGTATTACAAATTATTATTTTAATTTAAATGTCAACATTTATTCTCCAATATGGCTTAGATTAAAAATTAATTTCATTTTGGCTTTAGATATACTTTTCTGAGTTGTAGTATATGATTAGTTAAGTTATCAAGTTTTTCCACACAAGCCCTGTGTAATGGGGATAATGAGGACAAAAACAATTTTTCTTAAAAAAATTATTATGGAATAAAGAAACAATTTTCTAATTCCAAATAAAAACCAGTATGTGTTTCAAAATAAATAATTTCAAATTTCAATCTATGAAAACGAGTTAAAAATATAAAGCCGTGACAATAGAGATTTTCAACAATTTTCAGTAGCTCTTAAAAATAAATAACATTTTAATAAAATACTGCATATTAAACACCTTAGCATATTAGGTTGAGTCATTAATAACTACCAATATTCTTTGTAGTTTCTTTTCCTATTTCAAGAGAACATTATAAACTTTAAACCTAAAGCAAGGCTTCAAAAATATCAAATTTTGCCTTACCAACAAGTTACACGCTCAAACATTCTTTTCAAATGAATATTAATAAAAGCATATGAATATAACTATTATTAATCTGTCAATACATAGGTATTTCAGCTTTTATATTAATATTTTTAGTGCATTACCATCGAGATTATTTTTTAAAAAAAATAAGCATGATAAGTGTAATAAAAATTTTGAACTTTTTTCATATAATCTATGTTCTTTAGAACAATTATTTAATGACCATTAGAACATCCAAATAGAACTTCTCATTCAATATATTAACCAAACTTTTGTTTCATTTTTCTTAATTCTACCAAAACTACTCTGAAAATAGGTGTTCAACATTGTTGAGCTTAAAAAGCAAAAATTTTTTTCAAGAACAATGAATAGTTAAAGTCATCATAAAATTATTCACATCACTTTTTTAAGCTACCGCCAAAAAATTTGAAATATCTTGAATTCTCTATGAATTAAAATGAGTGACAGGACCTAGTATACCGATACTAAATGGTCCTAAGGATAATCTATGGTGAAATATTAACTATTTATCATTATTGGGAATTAGACGTGCACGAAATCCTCACATGGAAATCAATGCCTCCTGTACATATTCATAACCTTTGTAATTTTCTTCACAAAAGATTAAAAAAATTCAGTAATTATATTTCCCTTGTTTAAAATTGTATTCATTCTTTTTCTGAAGTGTCATATTTGTGATTGTAATTCTAAAGGCAGAAGAGTAAAATAAAGTAAACTCTGAATTATCTGCCAGGGGATTATCCAGTTTACAAATCATTCAAGCTCTACTTTTTTTTTTTGCAATGATAAACAACATAGCATTTAGAATTGAAAATAAATAAATTCATAATGTTGGAACTATTTTAAGAGTTTTGACAGCAACATACTAGTAAACATTCATGCTCGTAGCCCAGGTGTTCAGAATTAATCAAATAATGAATCTATACTTAAACATCGCAGCATAAAAAACAATACCTAAGTAAAAACGAGCCCTCTTCTTCCTTGTCAGCGCAACAGTCCCTTGCAGGCCTTGGCTGCCTCAACAGCTGACAAACGCGAGCGCCTCCTATACATGGCATTTCCCCTCCAATTTTCAAGTCATTTTTGATATCGTTGAGACATCTAGTAGGGGGTCTACCTCTGGGACGGGATCCCTCGAGGTTCTTGAAGGTAACGATTCTCATGGCACTATTTTCAGGGCTTCTTCATAGATGACCCAGCCACCTCAGCCTATTGCTGTGGATTATTTGCGTAATTTGGGGCAGCTTATAGAGTCCGTAGAGCTCAAAGTTATATTTAGTTTGCCAGCATCCCCTTTCTCGAATTGCGCCAAAGATAGCTCTGAGGATCTTTCTTTTTGAATGTGTTCAGTAACCGCTGTATATCTGAATTTAGGGTCCAAGTTTTGCTTCCGTAAAGCGAGTATTGAACATGTGAAAATGGGGAGATATTCATAAATAGTAAGACAACATGAGTCATGTCACCTTCTCATGATTATGTTGAACTACAAATGCAGAATGAAGTTCAAATTTCGATGAATCAAAACACCCATCAAAGCAGTATCTTCTACTGGATCATATTGTTATTATTCAAAGCAGTGATATTAATAGCAAGTACAGAAACTTATTTTTTTCCATTTAGCTTTCATATGATGAATAGGAATGAATTATCCTCAGTCATTTATTTAGTCAACATGTAACACATTATTGGAACTCTTATCAGTTATAAAATTGATAAATGACAAATAAGTATGGTCCCCACACAACCTTTGATACACCTGAAGGAAAAAGAATGAATCAAAGGTTTGAATAATTTATGGGCCATATGCAGGATTTTAAAATTGTTACTGACAAAAGTCTCTAAAAATTGTGTATGTACAGTAACTCTTTATAAGAACTAATTCTCATGTTTCAGACATTGTTTTGTGTATTCTTTTTTCAATAGTGTATGAACTCCCGAGTTAGACGTTTGTTTGTGCCTGTTTTATTTCAGCTTCCTGCCTTTCCAGCACCAAGAAACAAAGTTGATAGGCTTTTTCATACAGCAATAATAAAAAAATGTAAAAGAAGAAAATGTGAAGAAAACTGCAGATAATAAAATACATGATTTACATTAAAAAAATTGATGACGTGTGTCTTTTTTAAGCATTTGCAGATTATATGCGAATTCGCTTGTACAGGTTAGGTGGGCCACTCAATTCTGAGGATAATTGGGAGTCTACTGTATTCCACTATCCCTCTATTGTTTCGGTGAAGAAAAAAATTTAAAAAGCTAGTAAAGTACTGAATAACTGGCTAAAGTTAATATGTAGTATTAAAAAATATCCTTAAAAAAACTTAAATGTATATGAGATCGTACTTTATTCACACATACAAAAAAAAAAAAAAAAAAAAAAAAAAAAAAAAAAAAAAAAACTGTATAAATGTCAATATTCCACCAGTTTCATAATTCTTTTTAAAGTGTAGCATGTTTTTGCCAAATAAAATCCAGTACTTGAGTAATTTACAAAAGCTCAAAATTTACAAATTCTCAAAATTACTCACAATATAGCAACTTTACATTATAACATCAGTTTTAATTGACCTACTAGAACAGTTGTAACAAGTCTCTTTAAAAATAATACATTTTTATGAGCTACATTGGATGTATTCAAATGATAATTTATATTATGATTTATCATATAATAAAGCTAATAATTAAAAGTATAACTATATAACTTACTAAATGATTTCAGTAAAGCAATCTGGGCAAAATCAGTTTACTATGTATTAAAACATTGCATAATTTAAATTGTATTAGCACATATTTACAATGTATATCTTACCTTATCAAATTAATATCATCTACTTCTCCTCCTTGAGCAGTGTACATTATTTTAGCGTCGACATTTAGTTTTTTCCCAGCAGTTTCCAGAAGAGAATTAAAAGAACTTGTTACTAGAATAACCTTCAGAAAGAAAAAGTAAAAATTACAAGAAAACTTAATTAAAAAAAATATTATTTTTTAATTAGCATGGAAATAACATAAAACTTATACTCAGAATATATTGTATACATAAAATAAAAAAAGAGGACATGCACTAAACATTATGGAGAGAGATATTAAATTACGAGGTAAAGTGGTTTAAAAATAAGTAGAAATTTATAATGAGTATAAAACAAACTTTCAATTAAGCGAAAATTTGTAAACATTAAAAAGTAGTATGTACCTTCAATAAGAAATTTTTTTATTTCAAGACATTCGTACAAAGAAAAGTATTGTTTTGGGTATTAATCCAGACAGAAATTACAGACTTAAATCATTAATAACAAAATTTAAGACCTTTAAATTGGAGCACAATCAGGGTATCTGTTACAATTTAGACTTTCAAATCCATGACTGATTCCAAGAATTTTTCATCACTTAAGGAAGTTACTATTTTCTCCGACAAATACACAATAATAAATTTAAAAAAGCATAATAATAACATTAATTGAAATGATAGGTAAAACCAAAACTGTTATACTTTACATTTTCATATTTATAGATTTTAAATTTAAAGAATAGAGTAAAGAAAGAGTTGAAGCAATAAAATAGCTGGAAAAAAAAAGTAAATAATAATTTTTTCTTTTTTTCTTCAGAATTATATTTCAAAGATACTTTTCTTTTTCATCGGAAAAGAAAGATTCCCGATTTTTTCTGTTCTCATTTCGGAATAAATAAAAAATTCGCCAAAGACTGGCTTGCTTTAGCTAGAATTTAAAAATGATAAAAATTCTGAAATCACAGAAGTTTAAAAGATAATTTGCTCTAGAAATGATATTTTTTCTTTCATTTCTTGAAAGAACAGCATAATTTTTTAAAGAACATGATAAAAACATTTTATATTTTAATACAATATGATTGTGAGTGGGGATTTCGTTACAAATTACTATATTTGGAACACCATGAAATGGGGAGGGGGGAAATTCCATTTTAAAAATTAGATTTTTCGGCGACCTAAATCCATGACTTTCCATGATTTAAAAAAAAAAAAAATTAGTTAAAATCATGACATTTCATGGCAAATTTTGCTCAATACCGAAATTCATGACTTTCAGGTGCGCGGATACCCTGACAATGTTCACTTGGAAGAACGTTAAGAATTGTTCGATGAAAAAATATCACAAGAATGCCATTTTTATTGATAGAGTATGATTTTTAACATATTATGAGAAACCTTGTGGCAGAATTTTTTTTAGCTGTCCGCGACAAAACTCTTTAGCACTAATATCTTCTGCAAGATACTTTCAATGATAACAAACATATTATAATTTTTTTTAAAATTAAACATCTAATAATATGGGTGATATTTTTCCATTTTGTTGGGGGAGGGGGGTCCGCACAAATTATTTCCTCCTTTGCATTTCGTAAACACTCATTAGGACTGGGCAATACATCGATTAATAGGAAAACATTGATGTTGTGTAATCATCGCCCATCTGATGCTTAGGTTAGCGTCTTTTACGAAGCATTGGAAATTCCGATGTACGCGTGATGAGTACGATGTTTCCCGATGCCGCGAAGAGCGATTCCTCAGATTCAACATCGATGTTCACAAGTGCGAGCGAAAAGCATTCCCCCCGATCCCAAGGCAACATCGATTGCCGTGACGATCTTTTCCCGTGTGTTTCTTCCTTCGCGAATTATCAAGTAACGATCTGCTGACACGATGAATTCCAATGTGACTAGGAGTGAAACTAACTCATCGCCAATGAAAGATGAAGATGTATTTTCTTCAATTTGTGAAAATCCAAGAAAAGAAAGGATTCTCTGAGGATTATTTATGGTTTGCTATTTGATAATAATTTGAGATCATTTTTGTCTTGTTGAAGAAAAGATCGTTTTTGATCTGTTAAAATAAGACTTTCTGTTTAATTATTTTTTTACCTATTTATTTTTCTTTGTTAAATCTGAAGAATCGCATTCCTTCAATATGGATAAAATGTTTTCATTAATAATTTTGCATAAAGCTGCAATTTTGCATATTGACCACGTTTTCAATTATTAAAAAATTATTATTATTGTTAGAAAATATAAAAAAATCTAATAATTTTGCAAAAAATTTTGGCAAACGAGTTTTTAAAAGCAAATTTTCTTTTTAAGACAGTCGTTTCGTTTTTATCTCTTAAGCATTTTCTTTTTCGACTTGACTGCTTTTCGATCTTCTTTATTTATAACGATTTTTATAAGAGTGTACAGTTAAATTTTATTTTCACGAAATACAGTTAATAATACATTAGGTTAGCAATAATTCCGAAATTTTTTTTAAAAATAGTTGATTTTTACAAAATTGAAGCCATAATAATTTCCATCGTATCTTTTTCCAAGAAATTTTGTTTTTATACTAGTTTTTCGCTATTTCTTCTAAAATATTGAAGGTTACTACTTTCAATATTTCTACTGCCTTCAATAAATTATTGAAGGATATTCCTCAAGAAATTCTGGAGAATGAAAGGCCAAAAGGCTATGCACATCGGCTGTTCTAAGTTTTCTATCCTTCTCAATCCATAATTTTTTTTTTACCTTTTTCTATTACGTTTTTTATTTTTCTGTTAATGACGATTTTTTAATTGTTGGCTCAATGCGCATTTTGAATTTGATTTTTATAATTTTTATTTTAATTTTATTGTTACAGTTGGCTGATATACTTTACGGCAGGCTAATACTTTTGGTCTATTGATATGATTTTTGCGTATTAGGACTTAATCTTTAGTGGTTTGAGGGAGAGACCTCAAATATTCTAATTAGTTTAAGCAGACGATATTTTAAATTACAAAGTGAGGCACAAAAACTTACTTATCTGAATAAATTTTTTGACGGATTATAATTCCTGACCCTCAAAATATAAGGTGCAGTCGTAATCTGAGAAATATAGTCCTAATAATTTGGTCAGGAGAGCGATCGAAAGTTAGGATCTCTTGAAGTTAATGCTACATTTTGCATATTTCGTCATATCTTGAGAACTTTTTACTCGAATTGAAAAGTTTTAGCACAAAATTATAAAATTCATTTATCCAAAGATACTTTTATGCAAAAATGATTTTTTATTCATTTTTTTATCAGTAGTAGTCGAAAAAAGTTTGAATTGTAAGGTGTACAATTTTTTTTAAAGAAAATAATTTCTTATTTCAAAATAAAAAGGTTGAAAGAAATTAGTTGAATAGTTTTTGAAAAATAAATTTCAAAAAATCTGACTTTTTTAAAACCGATTACTAAGTCAAAAGTAATTTTTTTTTTCATGCACTACACTCTATCCACAAATATTAATTGCTAAAATATTCATGTTAAGATAAATTTATTACTATATAAAAGCTGAAAAAAATGCACCAATTTCTTCTAATTTTATTTTCTAGAAAAATTATTTCTTAATGCAATAATTTTTTAATGTGTTTTTGTCTAAGATACCTAACCATCTTTAAGAATGTAGAAAATGAACAATAATTTTTGTTTGACCAAGGTTGAAATACTATTCTTTTTTTTTTACCCTTCTTAATTCATCCTTAAAGATAATTTATCATTTTTTTCAAAGCTGCATGTAAAATTTTAATGAATTATTCGTTTCACTAGTCAATTATTTATTATTATCCTCTTTCTTTAATTTAAAAACTTCCAATTTTTTCAGCAAAATCTGAAGGTTGAAAAGATGTGTTGTGCTTAAATTGAAAAAGACAGTCTATTGAATTATTTTAATCCAAAAGAAGAAAATAATCAAAATAAAAATAATAAATAAAAAATAGAAAAAAACACATTACAAAAAATATTTTTTACTAAACATTGATATACTAGGCTATAAAGTCATACATTTAATTTACTCCTATCCTTACATTTTTGCTAATGATTATATTTTTTATATAACTTTATTGAAATTAAATACAACATTAAATTATAAATCACTTAGTTGTTTATATATACCTATAAAATGAATATAATTCATATAATGTTAGTTTAATGCATTTTGGCAGACTTTCACTTTTTATAAATTTTATCTGTATGTCCCTCTCTTGAAATCTTACTCTCTTTTTTCCCCAAACACACAAAGTTTAAATTCTAAAAATCCAATATATATATTTAAAATTTCAGTTTTAGTCTTACTTTACAGTAGCATCAAATAAATAAAAAGCTAAGTTATGCAAAAATGCAAAATTTGGCAAAACCAAATGTAAAACAGTAACGTGACATCGTAAAGTATCGAAACATTGTGATGTTTGAGTGGCGATGCATCACGATGCTGAAATCCTAACATTGCCCAGTCCTAATACTCATCACAGTAAAAAATTGAAAGCGTCAAAAAGTGATTACCTATATGCAGAATTCAAATATTATGAGTACATTTCTGGTGAAAGGTAATTATTTTCACTTTTTAAAAAGAAAAATCATTCTGCAAGAGCTCTAATGTTCTGCGACAATGTCGCCGGGTCGCCGCGATTCTGCCACGGGGATGAGAAATATTACATTAACTAAACATCAGCTAAATTCTTTATTCTTATAAATTTTTTAGGATGAAATTTTAATTCTTTTTTTTTCTTTTTATTATTTAAAAATATTTTTTAAAAGCATTTTAGCAAAGAGATCTAAATGCTTATACTGCAAATAACATATTATTACATGCCCGTGAAATCATCCACCTTTCATTAACCTTCGTAAAAAAAAAANCAATTCCGGAGGGCGGGAGAATAACTCAAAATTCGGGAGACTCCCGCAAAATGCGGGAGAGTTGGCACGTCTGCTATTCTTGAAGAATGCGACTAAAAGCCCTATTTAGGAAACAAAAATTATTTCTTTAGAAAAAGGTGAAAATTTATCTCTCATTATCTCTCAATTTATCTCTAATTATTCTTCATTTAATAGATTTTTTATTGCTAAAAGGCAGTTACATTCTAGAGCTCCCTGACCTATAAATACTAAATAATGTTGAAAGCAAATATCAGTAATTCATTTAGTCATTAATTTGACTTGAAATTCACAATTTCATTAATTTTCCTTTTTTTTTTTTAAAAAAAAAAGGATCAGTAATAAATGTTTATAATTTTTGAATAAAAGGCTTTTTAAGGCATGTTTTAACTCTGACAAATAAGCATACAGAGGTTTTTTTAGTGGGAAGTCAGTTCATGTTAAATGGCCTTTTCTTAGAAAATACAGAATCAATTTTCACATTTTTTTGTTTCTCATTATGTTGCAAATTATTATTAAATTATGGAATAATAGAAGAAGTTTCAAAATTTAAATTTCTTATTATATACTTCTTATGATATAAAAATGTATACAACTCATTAAAATAATAAAGGAAATCTAATAAGGAAAGAATGACTTTCCAATCAATTCAAATGAAATTAATAAAAATACATTGAATTTTAATTGGTATAGAAAATAACTGAACTTGCAAAGAAAATTGAATAAGTTTTAATTTTTTAAATATTTTAAAATATAAAGTCAACTCTTTTAAATTTGAACTCAAAAGGAAAATATACAAAATTCATAAATAAGGTTAACAGTAGGAGTGGTTAAAATAAATCAATGCTATGTTGAAGTTGAAAGGATATTTGCCTAGTATAAAATAATTTTTCAGCAGAAAAATCTGTGTTATTAGAAGAAATTATTAGGACTTCTTACAAATAATTAATGACAAAATCAGACTTTCTATCATTGTAGAAAATTAAAATCTCAACAAGGCTTAGTTAAACATGGAAAGTGTAACACAATTTTATTTCTGAATATTGTTGTAGATATTAAAGTGACCAAGAAAAAAGATGTCAACCCCTTCTCAAATATGGTCAACCAGTAGGAAGGAAAGAGGGTATGGCTTGAAGATGTTTACAAAATTGATTGTTTTTCAGACCCTGTGGCAGAATTTTTCGAGCTATGTGTAACAAAACTCTCTAGCACAAATATTTCTCTGTAAGATACTTTTAATAATAACGAACATATATGATACTAATTTAAAATAACAAATGCATTGGTTTACAAACAAAAAACTATATAATTTGCTTTTAGTTGCACATGTAATAATTTCTTATTCTTATATTATGATTGATATTCCAGCATTGTGCTGAGGAGGAAACACACAAATTACTCCATTCTTCACATTTTGCAAATAATCATTACAATAAAAAAAAAAAAAAATCATGAAATCTGTAGAAGTAATTGCCGAAAAAAATTGACGATGAAATCACGCGAGTTGAACTCCTCAAATGCTTGTCTCATTTCGAGATTAGGTTGCTGTAATAAAAACTATCGTATAAAAAATATCGGACTTAAAAACTCTGGAGAAATCAATAGATATAGGTGTCAAAAATTCAATAGAATTATTGCCTTAAAAAGTAAATACTCAAATGCACGATTTGAATTTTCTATATTGTTTAAAATATATCGGGATATTTAAAAACCACTTGAAAATCAATAATTGCCAAAAATATAATTGAAACATTAGATCGCTTTATGATACTATCTGCGTAAATCGAGCCCTCAAAAAGTGATAATCTAAATGCATGATTCAAATATTAAGTGTAGATTTCTGAAGAAAAGAAAAGTAATTGTTTTTCTTTTACTTTGCAAAAGAAAAATCATTTAGCGAGAGAACTCTGTAACGTTCTGCGACAATGTTGCTGCGCTTTTGTCACAGGGTTTTCAGGAAACATTTAAGATAGAGTGGTGCTTAAAAAAGGATTTTACAGCAAAGTTGTATGGTGAATAGTTCCTGAAACTAAATGAGTTTTTGTTAAAACCTACATTTTTAACTGATTTTGCAGGACTTAAAGAGAGTTTAGCAAACATGAAGACGAACACAATTTACTTTTTATTATTGTCCGAGCCACTTTATTATCATAAAAAACCGATGTTGTCTCCCTCCCCAATCACAGTCTACGAATTGGACAGGGGGAAAGGGACATGAGAAAGACCAGTTCCCAAGAAGTTAAATATAGAAATAATTAAGCCAAAACTAGAAATTATTTAAAAGTTGTGTTTTAGACAAAATATGGTTACTGCCAATCTAAGATTGGCAGTAAAAATTTTTTTTAAAAATCTGTTGGTAAAAAATTATATTTATCAAAAATGATCATTATTTATCAAAATCTTTGAATCAAAATTTAAAGTTTATCCTATTACAGTAGATAATTTTTTTTTCTGTTTAAAATATTAATTTAATAAACCAAAATTTGCATATGGATACTTAGAATCAGGATTATATTGTACTAATTTTTTTTATTTTTTAAATTTGAATTCTTAGTTCAGAAGATATAGTATAGAAATAATTTTTACCTTGCCATTTGTAGAAGAACCATTTTTAAAAATATTAACTCTCTTCATGCTGTCTTGAATCTTCTTTTTTGTTCATGCTACACAATTTAGACAACAATTTTAATTTATCTAGAATAAAAGAAAATGTAGCCATTTTTAATATGACATAGACTCCAATTGTAAACAAATGATGAGATATATATATATATATATATATAAAAAATTCAAATAAATTTAATTTCAAGTAAAAAAAAAATTTTTACTTTTTATTCACAATTGAAAAAGAAGATACAATAAAAAATAAGAACTGTATAAGAAAATACAGATTAAAACATGAGAGTCAAACTACAAAACTAAATCAGCATACCATCCCATTACATCAATTGGTGGTCTGGAGGATTACTGATAATTATTCTATGGTGGCCCTAATGAAATTTTAGTGGTCATATACCTACGTTAATTTTGAGCCTTGACTTTAATGATCATGGTGTATTATTTCTGCTAATTTGAATTTAATCAAGGACCTAGGACCAAACCAGAACACTGTTTTCCTTGGAGCTCTAAATTTTCCTATGCTCCGGGGCTTATTTAGTTTTTTTAGGCGATGCTATTGATGTTATAGCACTTTTGATAATAATGATTTTGATCTCAATATCCATATCAATACACCTGCCAATAAAATAAAAAAAGTTTTCAAGATATGGCATGCATGCCAGATCTGGTAAAAGCATGCCAGAAACCAAACAAAGAGAAAAAAAAAAAACACCTTATGTAGAAGCAAATGAACATAACTTTTTTAGGTTTATACATTTTCATTAATCAAAAGTAAGACTTTATAAATAGTAATAATTACTTATTTTTAAAATCCTCAAGATTTAATTATTTTCTGAATAATTACTCAGGATAATATAGAATAATTTCAAAGGATTAAAGCATAATGTCAAACGAAACATGTTGAACTGCACGTATTCATCATATATTATGTCAAACACAACGAATTTGAGTAAGCAAATTGTGATAACATTTTGAATCCTTGAAGGAGTTTAACACAGAAGTAAATAAAGATTGATAAATTACAAGAATTTTGATTTCTAATTCATATCATCATTGCAGCATAAATCTGTTTTAGCAATTCGATTACCGCTATCGATAACATTACCATGGTGATAATTTAATAAAAACAATTTGCCCAAATAAAATAGAGTTTGGTTACCTATTTTTGTTCAACTAAAGGGAACTCATTCTTTAAAGATAGGCCTACAAAGGTTCCTCTTTATATGCCAAGGTCTAGACAGAGAATGTTTATAACATGAGCATTCTCGCTGCATTATCATTTTAAAAGAGCGATTTTTACTTTATACAAAAATCGTATTTATAGAAATCGTAGTGAACTCAATGATGCCGACTAGAACCTGCTGATTTATGACTTTTCCGTTAGTAAATATTCGAGATCGCAACGCTTGAATAGTATATTTTCTGGCTTTTATTCACTAAGTTTTCATTTAGTTCTATCAGAGTCATTGGAGGACGTCATTTTTTTTTTAAGCAGCAAAATTTCCCTAAGGAAAATGCAGAGAAACTGCAGAATATTGGAACTGCAGAATTTTGCAGAATATTGGTAAATTTTTCTGAAACAGAACACGCCAAACATTTGAAGAACAACTTCTCAATAATTTTTACCTTTCTATTATCAACATTTCGATTTCTCATACTGTTGCAGATGTGCGTATTACGGTAAAATAAATTTTTTTTTTGTGTCTTCCATTACAAATTAAAGTGAAGTCAACATTGCTGATTTTATTCCAATGAATAAATATGATTTCAGAACGTGCAGAACTGCAATATAAAATAATTTTCTATAATAGTTTTCTACGTCTGATTAAGAACTTTAAGACTTAAAAAAAGAAAAAATATGAAAGTTTTTTATTTCAAAATGAGGAATTTTTAGAATCGTTTTTTTAATCATAATTATTCTTTGCACATCCACATGACCCGTTGCATCGCATCCGCGGAGGATTGATTTGCAAACATAATCTGCTGTAACAAAATTTTTTTTCTTTCAAACAATAAAATTTTCCAATCTCAGAAATACAAGTGTTGCAAAACAATGGTGTGTCCAAGTTATTTACAAATAAATCTTACAAATCACAATCACTTTTTAGCCACCAGCGGTATGCATAAATTTTGGAATTTCTACAATTGTCCATTATCAGTATTTGGTGGTGTCCACAGGACATGAATGTATCACTCCAAGAATGTATTAAATAGAATCGTGGACACCCCGACACCACTTTTTCAATGTCCGCAAAGGGTATACCCAGGTTTCGTAATATTATATTTGTATACTACCTGATATCTATATATATATATATTCTAAAGGTTTATAAAATGAAAAATGAAAACTTTTTTATATCTACATTCTACTTACCGTACAATAGTTCATTAATCAAGCAATGTTTAATTTCGAAGGGGGTTTAGTTCCCCAAACCATCCCCAAAAATACGCCACTAACTTGTACCCTTTGATCGCCACACGGTTACTAGCAGGATGTAATTGCAGCATTTTTAAATACACGTTGAGCAATATTGGTTTTACATCCCTTATGAAAAAATGGAGGTATAAATGAGGTATAAACGAGGTATATTTTAAAGGTATAAAGGAGGTTGTTGTTTAAATACGTCGTAAAGGTTGAAAAGGGTGCAAATGAATACCTCAAAATCAACCTCAAATATACCTTAAATATACCTCCAGAGGTATATATGTTNTTGAAGTGAATTTTAAACAACCTCAAAACAAGCTGAAGTATATATAAATCAACCTCGTACACCTTAATTACATTCTTAACGAGGTATAATTTTTATTGCTGTTTTCTCTGCAACCTTAAATATACCTCAAAACAACCTTAATACCTCAAAAATACCTCAAATCAACCTTAAATATACCTTAAATTTTCATAAGGGATCCTTTTGCTCTTGAGGAAACTCTGTCGGTTTTGAAAAAAGTGCATGCATATTTTCAAATACAAACTTGGCAGACTGAATGTCCTTTGTGCACTTGGGGTGGCCCATTGATAATTTGATATAAAGTGGCTCCTCCTCGTCCATCAAGGAAATGGCAGCCATTTCACGAACGTGGAATTTTTAATCGATGACAAATCCATAGAGTTGGAGGATTTCGCAAATGTCTCGACTATTGACCATGATTGCTAAAAAAGACAATAGCTTTCTTCAAGAAATGACTTGAAGAACAAGATGCTCTGGCACTGAATCGTTGCTTGGTATACCCTTTGTGTGACATTGGAAAATGGGGAAGTCGACGATTCGATTTAATAAATTCTTGGAGTGATACATTCAAATCCTGTGGACACCACCAAAGACTGATGATGGACAATTGCGGAAATTCCAAAATTTCGGTATATCGCAGGTGACTTAAAAATGATTGTGAGGTTTCTCCATCCCTTTTCTTTTGTTCTGAAAAATTTATTTAAAAATATCTAGTTGGATTAATTAATAGTTTTTTTAATTGTATTTAATTTTTTAAATGTTCTTTTTAAGTTTTTTTTTCTATAAACGTCATAGGAGTTTTGTTCTTGGTTCAGGTTTTGAGTTTAATTTTGTTTAATTGATTATTTGCTTTTCAGGTTAAATTTAATTCTATGCAAAGTACAATTAATAATTATTTCATGGCGCATGGCTCGTCGCGCGCCCAAACAAGGAGCACTGATGTTAATCTTGACTTGGGGAATACTTCGGATAAAAAGAAGAAAAAGAAAGTCAAATTTTGTGTTTAAATAAATTAAAAAATATTAAAAAATTTAAAAAATGCAAAAATAAAAATTGCAAGACTTGTCCTTTAGTTGATAATTCACAAATTGACTGCCATTTCAATGTTTTATCTTGTAAATGTCTTAACATAGTTTATTTTATTCAATGTAATTGTTGCAATTTATGTTATATATTGGTCAAACTAGTTTAGAATTTCATAAGAAAATCAATTCTCATAGATCTGATATAAAACATTTCAATAATAATAATAATAGTAGTACAACAGATTATGAAATTTACATTTTCAATTTCATGATTGTGATAATGTTACTCTTTTTATTTTGGATTTTATGGATAATTTAGATAATAGGCTTGATTTGGAAATTATTTATATTAGAAGTCTTAAAACCCTTTTTCCTTATGGTTTAAATAGTAAATTTAATTATGAAGGTACTATTGATATCGATAATTATTGTGTTTACGATAAATTTAAAGTTTTTAATTTACGTAGAGCTTTTAGTTCTATATATAAATATAAAAGTGGTGTATAGGTAAGGGGACTGGAAAAAGTTTTGAATTTGATGAATTTTCGAAAATTTGTAATTTTTATGTTAACCTGAATAATACTTTTTTTTATTAGGAAATATATTTTCGGCTTTAAAAATAAAGTTCTTAAAAATTTCTTTTTTAAATTTGGGAATAAAATTAAATTTGATATTGAACTTATTAAATTTATTGTTTTTGATTTGGTTAAATCAAAGCTTGGGATTGATAAAACTGATTTGCTTCTCAAAAAGGTTTCTAATGTTCAGAAAGTTTTTTGTACAATTAATTTTCATGATAAAAAATGTGAAAATGTTAGGATTTCACAGGCTATTCATTGTTTTTCCGATATTTTTCCTTTAAAACAACTTAATGTTTCAGCTGCCTATAAATATTCCTCTACTTTAATAAAAAAGGTTTGTAACTATAATTTTTTAAGTCCGAATTTAAATTATATTTCATTGTCTGATTGTCATTGTAATGATAAAGAATTTTCTCAATATATTGATAAAGATTATGGTCACTTTATTACAGGAAATTTAGATTGTTGGAGATCAAGATTTAATTAGTATTTTGAGTAGGGGTTCAAAATTCAGAACAATGTGTAAAATGAAAAACGATGATTTTATTTTATCGTTTAAAAGAGATCTTGATTTTTTCACAGCTAAAATTTCTAGGAAATATCATTGGCCTGTTGAAGATTTTACAGAATGGAAAACAAAAATATTGGAAGAAATTAAATATAATTTCTTTAATTCCAGGTTTTGTACTTATCCCAGTGATACCATTATTGATTATGAATTGTTTGAAAAGATTAAAATTCTTAAAAATAAGTTTATTATTACTGCTGTTGATAAAGCATCGAATAATTTTCGTATTGTGCGTAAATATTTTTTAAAAAAATTAATCATTGGGGAATATAATGCTAATAATACTTATTTTAAATTAAAGGAAGATAAAAAGTTATTGAAAAAAGGATAATTGCNAGATTAAAATTCTTAAAAATAAGTTTATTATTACTGTTGTTGATAAAGCATCTAATAATTTTCGTATTATGCGTAAATATTTTTTTAAAAAATTAATCATTGGGGAATATAATGCTAATAATACTTATTTTAAATTAAAGGAGGATAAAAAGTTATTGAAAAAAGGATAATTGCTTTTAGTAAAAAATTAAAGTTTAAATTGAATAGAATTACAACGAAGAGCCATTACATTATGACCACACTGCTAATAACGTGTAGGACCACCTTTAGCTCTCAAAACTGTTAGCACCCGCGGTGGCATTAATTCCACAAGGTGCTGATAGGTAGTCTGAGGTATCTGGTACCAAGCGCTCACCAAATAGTCCTGCAATTCCCTCACATTGCGAGGGGGTAGCGTGGCAGCACGATTTTGGTTTTCCAAGTAGGACCACAAATGCTCTATTGGATTAAGGTCAGGTAAATTTGGGGGCCAAGACATGACTTGAAAGTCACTGGAATGTTCCTCGACGATTCGACCCTTATGACATGGTGCATTATCCTGTTGGTAAACATCATCCCCCGCAGGAAAAATTGTTGCCTCGAATAGGTGAACCTGGTCTGCAACTTTGTTCAAGTAGCTTACAGACGTCAGGGATTGTTCTATGAGGATGATGGGTCCTAATGTGCTACATGAAAACATTGTTCCTGAGCGAGAAACCATGAAAACCTGGGCGAGCCCATTGTTATAGATGGAGGGTAGTCATAATGTAATGGCTCTTCGATGTACTTTTCCATATTTATTTCCTATCGTTAAATTTCATAGAAATCCAGTAAAATTTAGATTTATTACGTGTGGTACAAATTGTTATAATTCTAGTATTAATAAAAAGTTTTTTAATTTTCTTAAAATTATTTTACTTAAGATTAA